AGTATAACAGCCATGAACCAATAGAGCACTGTTTTTATATTTCTTTTGAGAAGTCAAGACTCATTGTTGATACTCTAAAGTAATGTAAGCTTTTTACTACTACTTTTGACTGTCTTTGAAATCAGAATTTAGTTATAATATGCTCATTTATCATTTTCTTTGTATCTATCCCACTTGTAATTCTATAAATTTCTTGAATCTAGAGCGTTATCTTCATCGTTAGAATTCATAGTTGTTGGGCTGGGAAGGTAGCTCAGTGGAAAAGTGCTTTTGCCTTGCAAGCATGAGGCCCTGGGTTCCATTCCTCAGCACCACATAAGCAGAAAAGACTGGAATTGGCGCTGTGGCTCAAGTGGTAGAGCACAAGCCTTGAGCTTAAGAGCTGAGGGACAGCACCCAGGTCCAGAGTTCAGGCCCCACAACCAACAAAAAAAGCAAAAACTAAACAAAACAAAAAAACAGAATTCATAGCTGTTATGTCTACCATACTTCTGCCCCATTTTCTCTTTTTCTAGGACATCAGTTAGCCTTTTGTGGTAACTCCACATGTCTAATGATAGCTCTTCTCCCTGTTCCTCATTTTTTCTGTGCTTCATTATGGCTATTTTCTATTATTATGTTTCTTAAAGTCACCAAAACTTGTCATCTGCTATATCCAGTCTGATCCGTATGAAATACTGAGGTTCTGTATTTTACTTGTAGAATTTCCATTTGCTTTTTTGTTTGTTTTTGTCGGTCGTAGGGCATGAACTAAGCCTAGGTGCTGTCCCTCAGCTCTTCAGCTCAAGTCCCTTGAGCCACAGCGCCACTTCTGGTTTTCTAGTAGTTTATAGGAGATAAGAGTGTCCTGGACTTTCTTGCAGGGGCTGGCTTTGAACTGCGATCCTCAGATCTCAGCCTCCTGAGTAGCTAGGATTACAGGCATGAGCCACCAGTGCCTGGCCATTTGTTATTTTTTTTAATAAAATCTGTGGTGATATATCTGTACATTTTTTTCCTTCTATTTTTCTTGAACATACAGTTATTTTAAAGTTCTTGCCTAACTTCAGTATCTTCTATCATCTTTCGTCTTTTTCTTTTGATCATAGATCTTATGATCTTGTTTTGTTCACCTGTCTGGCAATTTGTAGGTTTTATTTGTAGATTTTATTTCAGATACAGCAGACAGAAGAATTGTAGATTATGACAGTTATGTTCAGAAACTCCAATTATTATTATGATTAGGAGATGATGATTTTAATCTTGTCATGGATTGAGTTGGATTAGAATTGGTTTGAAGATTTGTCTTACCTCTGGTTAACCTCAAGAGATTTAGTTCTATCCTTTAGACCATAAGAGATTTAGACCTCAAGAGATTTAGTTCTATCCTTTAGACCATATGATATCATCATTAGCAGATATTTGAGGTGTAAAACGGTGTAAAAGAAATGATTATTCAGGGGCTGGGAAGGTGGCTCAGTGGTAGAATGCTTGCCTTGCAAGTGTGAGGCCTTGGGTTTGATTTCTCAGCACCACATAAACAGAAAAAGCCAAAAGTGGTGCTGTGGCTCAAGTGGTACAGTGCTAGCCTTGAGCTGAAAAGTGCAAGGAAGAGTGCCCAGGCCCAGAGTTCAGGTCCCACAATCAACCAAAACAAACAAACAAACAAACAAAAGATTATTCAATAATACTGATAGATGTTTTTTCAAGACCACTACAGTAAGTATAGGAACCATTGTCAATAAGATCTTCCTACCGTGCATATATACATGTATATATATATTACATATATATGTATTATATATTTTATAATGTTATATATATTATACAAGAAGCTTTTAATGCCTTACATTTTTACAAACTATAAAATCTAATTCTTTTTCTGCTTCATAGGCCCTTCCAACCACCCCCTCATTATTATTTTTAAGGAGTTGTACAAATGGGTTACAATCCCATAAGTCAATAGACAATGTAACCCCTTCCTTTATTTTCCCAATTTTGTCTCCCCTATAGGGTATATAGTTTATTTTTACATAGCGTATATTGAATACTTACTGACTGCATTTGTTCACCCTTCCTCCTTCTATTCCTGTGCCCTCTTTTGTCCCCACATAAAAGACAATAAAAACAAAACAACAAAAAAAAACCACTACCACTACCAATAACAACAACAAAAAAAAAGAATCCGCCAGGCGCCGGTGGCTTACACCTGTAATCCTAGATCCCAGGAGGCTGAGATCTGAGGATCACAGTTCAAAGCCAGCCCAGGCAGGAAACTCCATGAGACTCTTATCTCCAATAAACCACTAGAAAACCGGAAGTGGTGCTGTGGCTCAAGCGGTAAAGCACTGGCCTTGAGCTGAAGAGTGCAGGGAAAGCGCCTAGGCCCAGAGTTCAAGCCCTATGACTGACAAAAAAAAAAAAAATCGATGTTTTCCATGTTTTGCTGGGCCTGGGTGCTATCCCTGAGCCTTTCTGTGCTCCACCACTTGAGCCACAGTGCCACTTCTGTTTTTTTTTTCTGTTTATGTGGTACTGAGGAATCGAATCCAGGGCTTCATGCATGCTAGGCAAGCACTCTACAACTAAGCCACATTCTCAGCCCCCATACTATTTTAATACCATCTGTTAATGTATACTCAATAATGAATTCCTTTCAGATTGTACTGAATATTGAATTTTTTTTCAAATTTTGAGAATTTTTTCATCTGGAATTGTTCTACACAGACTACTCATACGAAGGGTTCTGTTATTTCACATTCCACACTGACCATTCGAATACACAAGAGACCAATACTATAAGAGTTTCAATTCAAGAAACAAACTTATTTTGAATGTACTTTCATTTGCTTATTCTGTTTTTGTGAAAAAAATTCTTATGATGCAATATTATATTTCCTTTTTTTCCTTTTTTTTTTGCTGGTCATGCGTGGGTACTGTCCCTCAGCTCCTCAGCTCAAGGCTAGCGCTCTACCACTTGAGCCATAACACCACTTCCAGCTTTTTCTGCTTATGTGGTACGGAGGAATCAAACCCAGAACCTCATGCATGCAAGGCCACCTTCCCAGCCCACAGTGTTGTATTTTCTAATAATGGAAATACTGTGATGACTGCTAAGTTTGATTATATCAACTTACAATGTATTTTTTGTCCGTGACAGTGTAATTAACTGCATAACACACATAATGCTTTGCCGCTTTTCAATAAATCAATCTAGAGTCAAATATGCTTTAAAGGCATGACATTCAAAAATCTACTTTTCTCTCCTTCTTTCCTTGACCTGAGTATTTATTAGTAACAAAAAAATGTGAAATGTCACAATATGCAGACCTTGATATACTAATGGTAACCATATTACTATAGTTTATAGTGGACTGAACAGAAATGCACTGGGAGTAAAATGGTGTTAAAGATTATTCAGAAGTGGCGCCTTGGCTCAAGTGGTACAGTGTTCGCCTTGAGCTGAAGAGCTGAGGGACAGCACCCAGGCCCAGAGTTCAAGCCCCATGACCGACCAAAAAGAAAAAAAGAAAAGAAAAGAAAAGACTGTTCAAGGGCTGGGAAGGTGGCTAGGTGGTAAAGTGCTTGCCTCGCATGCATGAGGCCCTGGGTTCAATTCCTCAGCACCACATAAACAGAAAAAACTAGAAGTGGCGCTCTGGCTCAAGTGGTAGGGCACTAGCCTTGAGCTGAAGAGTGCAGGAAGAGCATCCAGGCGCTACCAGTACCATATAGTTACCAGCAATACTACTCACTTAATCTGCTATTGTGCCTTGAGAAGCTGTAGACAACAAATCAGTATGTGAAGATGTTTGTGTTTTACTAAAATTGTACATGGACACTAAAATTTAAGTGTCTGTCATTTTCAAGTATGACAAGATACTTTTTATTTTGATAACTTAATATATAAAAACTATTCTTAGTTCATGGACTGTATATAAATGGGTTGTAGAGTACATTTGATATATGGTTCTTAAGCCTTCAAACTCTGCTATGTAAAGCATTACTCAATTTTTTAACCATTTAAAGCATTTATAAATTAGTAATATAGCTAGCATATTACAGGGTGGACTAGAAACACATTGAAAACAGAGGCAAGTTAGTCTAGTGGTTAAGAGGCTAGTGGTTTCATTCAGTGGTTGAGCACCAGGGTCCAAGCACAAAGCTCTGGTTTGGATCCCCACCACCACAGAAAGACTGAGAATATGGCTTAGTGGTAGAGTGCTTGCCTAGCATGCATGAAGCCCTGGGTTCCATTCCTCAGTACTACATAAACAGAAAAGGCTGGAAGTGGCAATATGGTTTAAGTAGTAGAGTGCTAGCCTTGAGCAAAAAAAGCTCAGGAAGAGTGCCCAGGCCCCAAGTTCAAGCCCCACAACCAAACAAAAACAAAAACAAAAAAACAAAAAAAGATTAAATGAGTTGATACATGCAAGCAGATAAGATGATACATATGCAAACTTATGCAGGAAGTGATCAGCAAGTATTAACCATACATATTGCCACTGCAAATTAGGTAATAATGACACTCCTTAGGATGAGAATGATAAAATGTAAGTTAAAAAAAGATTAACTACTTCTACACACATCAAATTGAACAAAATATAAATGCAGAAAGATTCAAAATAGATATGAAAATTTGCTATAAAACAAGCTTATTATAAAGCTCATTATTTTATGGGGTATCTTAAATGGAGGGTAAAACTGAATATGAACACAATAGCACCATGCAAAAAGCTTTAAAAAACTGAATTAGACTTCAAGGACAAAACAAAAGATCACACAGAAAAAGATACAAGTGTATTTTTAAAAATGGCAAAAACAGTAAAGCAAACAGAGAAGACAGTAAGTGCAAGAATATAGGAAATACAGGCACACAGAAGATATAGCAATTCCTAACACTGGAAGACAAATGCTTCTGTATTTGAAAGATTGAAGGGAAATCATCTATAAGAATCAAACTGAAATGTAATGTAATGATTTCATAAAAAACACTTATTAAAGTTAGAAAATCTACTTACTGACACTGCTATCATGGTACTATCTGGCCTCCATTCAGTTTGTTTGTAGGATCCAAACTGTGTTGATGATTTTGCAGGTTCCTTGTAGGTTACAATTAACACACTAGGCTGAAAAAAATGTATTTTTATTAATGTTTCATACAAATATATACTGACAAAATTTCAAATAACTTACAGAATATCCTAAAATTATTTTAAAAGTTTAGTGAAACTACTATTAAATCATCCGCTATTAACATTCCATGTAAACCTACACAAGAGTCTGTCAGAACTGCAGCAAAGAAGCTAAATCAACAATTAATAACTTTCTGAAACAGAAAGAACGAGGTCCAATATGTTCATGGGTGAAATAAATGAAACATTTTAAATAAAATTATACCAATTCTCTACAAAATCTCTAAAGACAGCCAAGAAAATACTTTATAGTTTGTTCTATGAGGGCCAGTATTATTTTATTTCCAAAACCAAAGAGGGGGAAAAAAAAACCTTCAGATCCTAAATCTCGCATGCACAGGTTGCAAAACTCTCTAACATTAGCAAATGTGGCTTAGTGGTACAATGCTTGCCTATCATGCATGAGGCCCTGGGTTTGATTCCTCAGCACCACATAAACAGAAAAAGCCGAAAGTGGTGCTGTGACTCAAATGGTAGAGTGCTAGCCTTGTGCAAAAGACGCTCAGGGACAGTGCCTAGGTCCTGAGTTCAAGCCCCAGGACTGGAAGGGAAAAAAAAGAATGAGGACATAATGAGATCAAATGGGATATATCCCAGGTATGCAAAAACATTTGAATATTAACATAACCCATCACATAAACAAAAGAAGAAAGCACTCAATATACGAAGTCAACAAAACAATTTTTTGGTTTGGGTTTATTGTGTTTTGAGGGGTTTTGTTGTTTGTTTGTTTGTTTATGCTGGTCCTGTGGCCTAAATTCAGAGCCTGGGCACTGTCCCTGATCTCCTTTTGCTTACGGCTAGCAATCTCCTACTTGAGCCACAGCTCCAATATCGTAGTTCATTTTTTTTTTTCGTAGTTCATTACTTTCCTGTCTTCAATCCTCAGATCTCAGCCTCCTGAGTGGCTACAATTACAGGTGTGAACAACCAAAACCCAGCTCCCAGTACCATATTTTTTTAAAGAAATTAATATACCTCTAAGTAACCTATGATTCAATTAAATGATTACTTTTTTGGGGGGGGGTGTCAGTCATGGAGCTTGAACTCAGGACCTAGGTACTGTCTCTGAGCTTTTCCATTCAAGTGGTAGCATTGTACCACTTTGAGCTACAGCTCCACTTTCCTTTTTCCTGGTGGTTAACTGGAGATAAGAGTCTCATGGAACTTCCTACCCGGGCTGTCTCTGAACTGTGATCCTCAGATCTCAGCTTCCTAAGTAACTAAGATTATAGGCATGAGGCACCAGCACCTGGCAAATTATTACATTTTTTAACTGGAACTAAGTGAAAACAAAATTGGAACACATAAAAAGTTAAAGGACACAACTAAAATATTGTTAAGGAAAAAATCTTATAACTTAAAATGACAATTTTATAAAGAAGGAATGTCTCAAATCAAGCAGCTCAACTTCCAACCTAAGAAAAAGGACCAAATTAGGTGCCAGTGGCTCACACTTGTAATCCTAGCTACTCAGGAGGCCGAGATCTGAGGATTGCGGTTCAAAGCCAGCCCAGGCAGGAAAGTCCATGAAACTTATCTCCAAAAAACCACCAGAAAACTGGAAGTGGTGCCATAGCTCAAGTGGTAGAGCACTAGCCTTGAGCTGAAGAGCTGAGGGACAGCGCTCAGGCCCAGAGTTCAAGCCCCACGACCGACAAAAAAAAAAGAGAAAGGACCAAATTAAACTCAAAGAAAATAGGATGAAGAAACTCAGAGCAGAAATCAATAAACTATATTGCAAATATCTCTAAAACATTAAGCATTGCAAGTTGATGAGCTACAGAAGTCAGTGTTGTTGGGATGGAAATTTTTCCCTACTAATCTGAAAATGTGATGTGATTTCCTAAAATGCCCAGCAAGAACTTTCATAGAAACAGACAGGATGATTCTAAAATCTACATAGCAATGCAAAGGAACTAGGACTAGGCAAAATAATTTTCAAAATTAAAGATAAAGCAAGACCTTCACTGCTAGCGTGATGATGCAAACCTATAATCCCAGCTACAGAGGAGGTACAGTAGGAGGGTGTGGTCTGAAACTGGTCAAGACCACACATACACACACATTTAAAAGTATTAACATCAGCTGCACTGGACATAGATAAAAATGAACTAAGCAACCCAAAGACAGTGACGGGAAGGGAGAAATGAGAGGGAAAGAGGGAACAGCTCACACTAAGCAAAAGGAAAGAAATGTAAACATCACTTGATGTGGAAGAAATAATTGTATTGTCAAAGCTCATAGAATTCACAAACTTTATAACAATGATAATGACAATTTGCCTTGTGAAGGTTACAATGTGTTTGTGACTTTAACTAAGTATCACTATTCCACAATAATATGAAATTTATGTAACCACCCAATCTCAATTAAAAAAAAAAAAAGAAAAGAAAAGTGAGAGAAGGGGTGGGTTAGGACCCATGGGTGAAAATGTTACCACTTTGTATTCATATACTGTTTTGTAGTATGGGAACTTCTTTGTACAACCACTTAAAAGATAATAAAAGAAAATTTTTTTAAGACTAAAGGTCTAGAGCCAGCTACCCATGGCTTATACCTGTAATCCTAGCTACTCAGAAAGCTGAGATCTGAGGATCTTGGTTTGAAGCTAGCCTAGGTAGGAAACCCTGAAAGACTCTAAACTCCAGTTAACCAGCAAAAAGTCAAAAGTGGAGATGTGGCTCAAGTAGTAGAGAGCCAGCCATAAGCAAAAAAAAAAAAAAGTATGAAATTCTATCTGAAAAATAACTAAGGCAAAAAAAGAATGTGAGTATGGTTCAAGTGATAGAGGGCTTGCTTAGCAAGCATTAGGTCCTCAGTGCAATCACCAATACTACAAAAAAAAATTACCTTAATTAAATAATTTAAGCCTAATAAACTAATACCAGTAGAATGCTTTAATGAAGTTCCTAGTTCACCATTTTAAGTAACATATATAAGTGCTTAAACGTTAATAGTGACAAAATAGTTCTTATTTTTCAATTCTCCAACTGTTTTGATTTAGAGAGGAAATCCTTCTGAGGTATGATGATGTTACTTCTAAACAATTTACAAACTTGAACTCAGGCTCTGAGCACTGTCACTGAGCTTTTGCACTCTACCACTTGAGCTACAACTCCACTTCTGGCTTTTTGCTGACTAATTGGAGATGGTCTCACAGACTTGTTGCCCAGGCTGGCTTCAAACTTCAAGCCTCCTGAATAGCTAGGATTACAAGGCATGAGCCACCAAGCTAAAAGATTATATTTTATACCACTGTCTCCATTCTTATATTCTTTCGTGAAGCAAGTGTCTTTTCATGGAAATAGTCCTACCAGTTTCTATTTAAAGTATTAATTTATTTTGTGTTTGTTTGCTTTTAAGACAATGTCCCACTATATTGCCCAGTTTACTCCTAGGCTCAAACTATCTTCCTCTTCAACTCCTGTAGTTTGGAACTGTAAGAGTAGACTACCATGTCTACTGAATCTGAAAGGTGTTTTCATGCTTCAAATCCTGACACATGAACTTAAATTATGGAAAGTTTGCTTACTTCACAATAAACTGCAAATGAATGTTTATTACAACAGGGATCATGTCAATGACTCAGAGGATCATAGCTGGAATGCCCTCTTTAAATTTGTTTCTATTGTTTCTTTTTCTTTTGTGGCTTCCTTTACTGTCAATAGAAACACATTCTAAGAATCTGATTGGTTCAATGACTATACACTAGTTTAAATTTCCATACACTATTAACTAATAAAGTAGGAACCTTTACCGTGTACTATTTTCTCAATATAATTGGAAATATATATAATAAAAGTTCATTTAATTGTATGGTTTAGATCCTCAGATGGTGGTACTACTGGGGGGGGGGGGTGGCTGATCATAAGTGCACTAGCTTCATAAATAGATTAATCCATGGATAGGTCATAGCTGAATGGACTATTAGGAGGTGGGGGACTAGTTGGAGAAAGTATGTTACTGGGAGAATGACTTTGAAGGATATATTTTATCTCTGATATCTCCTTGCTCTCTCTGATTCCTGTCTACACTGAGGTGAACAGCTTTGCTCAACCATGCTCTTCTGCCATGATGTTTCTGCTAGGCCTAAACTCAAAGCAATGGTCCCAGTCACATTGGGCAAAAGCCTCTAAACCCATAAGCCGTAATAATCTTCCCTTTAACTGACTTTAGAGATATTTTGTTACAACAATGAAAACCAAATAACATATTCATATAACCCTAATTTTAGGTTTTTCATAATTTAGCCTATAGGAGCTGGGAAGGTGGCTCAGTGGTAGAGTGCTTGCCTTGCATGCATGAGGCCCTGGGTTCAATTCATTAGCACCACATAAGCAGAAAAGGCTGGAAGTGGCACTGTGGCTCAAGCGGTAGAGCACTAGCCTTGAGCTGAAGACCTGAGGGACAGCGCAGGCCCAGGCCCCACAACCAACAAAAAATAAATAAAAATTAAAAGAATTTAGGTTGTAATCAATCTAGTATTGCTCTTTCTTGGAGGGCGGGGGGGGAGGGGAGAAGAGGAATTGGTCATGGGGCTTGAACTGGGGAGGAGGTGGGCCTGGGCACTGTTCCTGAGCTCTTTTATTCAAGGCTAGAGCTCTACCACTTTGAACCACAGCTCCACTTCTGGTTTTTTAGTGGTTAAGAGGTAAGAGTCTCACAGGGACTTTTCTGCCCAGGCTGGATTTGAACTACAATCCTCAAATCTTAGCCTCCTGAGTAGCTAGGATTACAGGGGCGAGCTACCAGCTCCTGGCTAGTATTGCCATTTTATTATTATATGTCACATTAAAACATTTCCAATTTAAAAAAAAAAAAAACCTCTTCAGGGTGGGAGACATGACTAAAGTGCGCGAACATCAACCAATGAGCAAAAGTATCAGATAACAACTTCAAGTCCTGGTCTCAGACAAAAAAAAAAAAAAATC